TATGGATGTGAAGGAGGCGAGAGAGGTGTGTCAGGAACGTGCCAAATGGAAATCTGTAGTCTCTGCCTACCCGTCTGGGTTACAGGCGTGAGTGTTTATAACTATACTTATTGGGTGCATAGCAATAATTTCACTAACTTCCTTTGGTATTAAGTTATCCGATGTAAGTTTTTATCTCTATTTGATGAATTAGTAAAAATATAAGCAACGATATATAGTGCCAATCAATATTCAATAGGCCAATGACACAAAATATCGCAATATAAACAACGAAACTCGACATTATTTGGTCAAAATTAAATTGCCTTAATTTATGAATAAATGTAAAGAATAAAAAGTAAATAATGTAACTTTGAATCAAAGATAATTTAACCTTATTAAAGATACCTCGGAAGTCATGACCGATATAAAAAGTGACAGGGGTTGCTAGACGTATGATATTAATGCAAATCTAAAAAAATCTACGTCTAATAATCTCTAAGTATCCAAATATATCACTTGACTAACAAACGTGACAACGAGGCGACTCTAAGTGATCCAACTTTCTTGATTTTTGTATGGAGAAGTATTAATGATGTTCCTCGACGGAAGCCCATGCGAGCGAAGCCCCGGGTAAATAGCTAGTAATTAATAAAATAAAATCTCAGCCCAAGCACACAACTACAAGACTTCAACATACTTTAAGTTCATACTGCGTAGATCGGATCAAAAATTAATAATTTTAATCTGAAGGCAGCTGTGGTTAACTATGACATTATGACGTCGAACACCTCAGCCCCCACCGTGACAATGGGTGCTGTAAAGTGCTCGAAACATTGCGAATATAAATTAAGTTAATACACGCGATATAATCCGTAAAAATTAGTTTTATTTAAATGTGTAGTGTTCTCGTAAATATAAAAAATCATTATAAATTAATTTGCATGTCTCCACTAGGGACTTGTATGTGATACATAGTATTTTAATAGTATCTCATGTAATATACCTACATCCTAAAAAGCATATTTTAAGAACATTTTTATGAAGTTTTTACATGGAGCCACGCTGTGTTTATATTATGGTTGTAGCACAAATAAGTCGGCTCGATCGGGGTAGGACCACGCTCTCACAGAATACGAGAGTAAAATAGCGGTTTTATGCATTTGTGTTACGGTTCTTTACACTCATGGCGAGTTGAGAGAGCCGGAGAGCCTATTTACTGCAAACGAGTCGTTTCATCTCAGTCCTCAGGGGGGACAACGTATCTGCATTTTGATTATTAATTGAGGATAAGTAAAGATGTCTGTGGCAAATACATCCACTTGCAATCATGTAGAATGTGTGCTCGTTTGTCACCCCTAATTTATAAAAAAGGTCAAATGCATTAATGTTGAATGCAATAAATTATTGGAACATTTTGTCTTAATTTACTGACGATTAATAGAAAATACCTAGACATGAAATATAAAAATAACTGGTCACAAAAGGATTAACACTTAGTTGCTTAACGAAAAGGAAACTCAAAATTTGTTATAATAGGAAATAGATTAAATAGAATAAACAAAAATATAAGAAGTACAGTATATGTCTGCAGGACTAATTCGATGATCGTTCAGCACGACTTGTCCACTCCCTGTGCTTTCTAGTTGAAAAACACGCTTTCAACGCCTTGGGGCAAGTTACGCCTGATGCATTTTATTAGCAACAATGCGCCTTAGATAGTAATAGTGTTTAATTATAACATTCTATGTATGTACTGTACTATTGATTGTTATTTCATTGGTCCTGCTTATTCGTGGTATCTTTGGCTCTCGCACTATATAGTGCTTTACCAAATCAATTTATTTTATTATTTTAAAATTTGGGATAATCCTCCACATGGTTCTGGATTGAAGCCGGATATAAAGAGATTAATTGGATGTTTTTGTACATTGAGATAGGGGCTTTAGTCCATTTATTTAAACCACTTCGGTTGGATTTCGAGTTGCAACAATTTGAAGATTCAACTTGGACTTTGCACCAGCACAATAAGGACAAAAGGCTAACAATTTTTTAAACCCAACATTTATTCACTTATTAATAAGGTTGGTAAATTGTATTATTAATTTTCGTCAGTTATTACTATGATAGTGTTAGTGTTAGTTAACACATCGCGTTACAACTTTATTGTATGTTTGTCAGTTTAAGTTTCATTCAAGTTCATTTCGTATTTAATACAATACTGTTAGTGTTCAAACTACATTAAATTACTAGTAGGTACGTATAAACATTTGAACTGGCTATTTTACAGTATAAAAATATTTTATGCATAGGTAGTAATAATTGTTTTCTAATACCGTCAGGTACATACTTGTAAGCTAATTTTATTTTTTTACTTTAAATTGTTTCCTTTGTTGCCTATTTAAGTTTTTTTGGTATTTTTTTGGTAATAAGAAATAACAAAAACTTAGTGCTCTCGTAATTTTATTATATTTTAATTAATAACAAAGATGTATTGCATAAAAGTATACTATTTCATTGGTAGAATTTGGCCTTAAATAATATTGTATTTTTATTTGCATAATAATGACAGATTAAAAATTAAAACACTCACGTTCACGATTCGATCATTACCTCAATATACTTGTTTTAACTGTTTCTACACATCGATAAATGCCCTATACTTCAACAATGACAAATGCGTCTGATGTGGCAAATATGCAAAGACAACTGGACGAAGGCTGGTGTCAGATTGTTGATTTTGAAAGACGCTTGAAGGATGCATCCACTCCAAGTAATTCAAAATTAACACTGTTAAAAGAAGAGTGTTATGCCTTTAAAGAACTCGTAAGTGCAATGTTCAACATTCAGCAGCAGATCCAGGAACGTGTCATGAATATTGATATCATAGCTATGTGGCAACATCGGAAAGCTCTTCTTTTTTGTTATCGGCTAGCTGAGGCATCTGATACTTGTACAGCAGATGAAATACTTCAATTGATGAACAGCAAGATGGGTCTGCCACATATTACAGCAACCTACTTTGAAAAGTGTTATAGACTCAGTGCTGAGTGATCATGTTAGATCCGTTTTTGTATTCTTTCAGAATCACCATACAAAGTTGGAAGTATAGCGATCAAAAACTAAACTAAAAGGCTCATCTATATCCGTTTGTGAATTTCTTACTGGGGTGCGGCAATCAATTCACAGAACAGCCAGAAAACATTTTGGTGTTAAGAATATATGGACTCATGATGGTGTAGTTTATGATAAGCATGCATGTGGTCATAATAAGATTATCACAATGGAAGAATTGGATGCATGGGTAAGTTTTACAATTAAGTCGTCTGAATTAGGGGGTGAGGGTGTTGTAGGGGGGGGGTTGCAGTGTCGCCCCCTACTTGCCCTTCCTGCCGGACATGCTTATTTTTTTATAAATTTTTAAAAATCTCATTTTGAGGTTATGTTTCGTATTTTTATGACAATTTTAACCTGATTTATGGGGATAGAGAGTAGGCGGACAGAAGTCCCACGCCACTTAACGTGGTGCAGTCGAGGGAAGCCCGGTCGACGGAGCCCCGTTTCTTTAATGGCCATATATCACAGATCCGAGCACCAATACTGTTTCAGTGGCTATGTGTGCTGCTAAGAGCAATAAGAATGATAAGCAAGCATAAGAAGAATAAGAAAGATAATTTATACGTGGTAGAGCCATGCTGCAGTTATATTAGTAGTATAGTTGTAGCACGAATGGGTCGGCTCGACCGGGGAAGGACCACGCTCTCACAGAATACCAGCGTGAAATAGTAGCTTAATGCTGCTGTGTTTCGTATGGTGAGTGTAGAGAACCGGAGACCCTTTTTACTGGAAACGAGGCATTCCATCTTAGTCCTCACGGGTGACAACGCATCTGCATTTTGATTCGTAATCGAGGATAGATGTAGATGTCTATGGGCCACAGCAACCACTTACCATCAGGTGAACTGTGTGCTCGTTTTTCACCCTATCCTATAAATAAAAAAAAAAAAAAGCAAAGACTGCATGGCTCATCTGGTGGTAACCATATGCATGAAACAGGCCAACGCACAGTAACTGCTGTGAATCGTATTGATGACTCCAAAAGACAACGGCGGCTTGCAGTTAAGAAGTAGATTTGTGGTTCTAGGTGTCTAATTTCTTTGTTGTGAGTGACTACACATGGTATGATTTTCTAAACCTCAATTTAGTCGAAAAGCAAAATGCATAGTTAAAATCTATTTTAATTTTGGTCTGTTTTTACTTAATTTTACTTTTTTTACTTGTAGATATGAACTACAAGTTAAAAAAAGTAAAATTAAGTAAAAACAGTTCGACATTACAAGCATTAAATATTTGTAGTTTAGATTTGTTTTTTATTACAGATATTAGATTTATCATAGAGCATAATAAGTACGAGTATTGTCCAATACATATACATACCGTTAATGGACGCCCAAACCATGGATGATGGAAAAAAAGATAGTGCGCAAAGGACCGCTGCCTGGAGGTCGCCAGGACGCGTCTGGAGCTGGCCCTGGACGCGACAGCATGCGGGCCGCCAACCGAGCGCGGGGTGCTGCAAGACCACCTAGCAGCCCCCTGCATCCATCATCCCCACCAAACGGCTTGGTGTCGACTGGGTCTTTCGGACTCAGCAAGCGGCACCCGCCGCTGGTGGAGCACGTCGCATGCGTTGGTCACAATTAATGAACGCAAACGCACTGCGGGCGTACTTTAGGGCAAAAGGGGAAGAAACTGGGTGTTTGGCGTATCGGGCTCGGATGCATCGCTTTTTTGCAGAGCTGGAGCCATCTCTATCCATCACTGAGCAAAACCAGAGGTAGACCGAGTTCGGTACAACCTGCGCTCCAACATATTTGGTGACGCCGAACTCGAACGACTATGACGTGAGGCGGTTCCCTCAACGAATGGAAATGCTACGGCTGGGAATGCGGTGCCACTAGATGCGCAGTAAACTGCATATGTGGAAGCTGCCGTCAATATTCCATTTGTGGTTAATTCAGACTATGATGGAATAGTCTCCCACGAACTAGAGAAAATGAGGAGCATATTGGAAGAGTCGATGCTGGAAATGGAATCGGGCTGTCGTGAGGGCTCTGAACCCAATGCTGGTGACTTATTTGGAAGCCAGCCGGGACCTTTGAGAGACGGATTCAATTCTTCATGGCGCCGCGCTGGCAGTCTGCCGTATCATAGGCGCCAAGGTTTCTACGGCTGGACGCGCTACTGGCCAAAGTAGTGCTATCCCAGCATGGAGAAGAAGAATTGAGGAACGTATCGCAAAGGCTAGAGCTCTCATCGGCAGACTGATATGCTTTAGATCAGGCAATAACAGGCCAAGAATTATGCGCACCGTCAGGATGGCGTTTGCTGGGACAAATGTCAGTTTGTCCCAGCCGGATATAAAGCAAAAACTGACGGAGCGCATAGATGAACTGAAGCAGAGAATCGCTGCCTGGGGAAAGCGGATTCGGCGATATACCGAGAGGTCGCCACGGTTCAACCAGAATCGTCTCTTTCAGAGTGATCAGAAGAGGCTCTATGAACCATTGGAGCGACCAATGGTAATTGGAATGGGCCCAGCACCGAATCAGGCCGACACTGTAGCATTCTGGCGCGGCCTGTGGTCAGAGCCCTTTAACCACAGCGAGGGCCCTTGGACGGAAGTTGTGGCGAGTCAGTGTGCGAGTATAACGCCCATGAACCCCGTCATTATAACACCAGATAACGTAGATGAGGCGGTCCGTAGGGCCCCGAACTGAAAAAGTCCGGGACTCGACGGGCTGCATCACTACTGGCTGAAGGGTTTCGTGGTGTGTCACACTGTGCTCGCCCGACAGTTTCAAGAGGCTCTCATCCAGAAGTCGCTCCCAAGCCTATTCACTACTGGGATCACCCATTTGGTTCCTAAAAACCAGGGTATCACAGACACGAGCAAATACCGCCCCATCACGTGTCTACCGACCATATAAAAGACTCTAACATCCATTTTGAGTGCGAGAATCACTCGTCACCTAAACTAAAATCAGGTGATGTCGCGCGCTCAAAACGGATGTCGGGGCGGTGGTCGTGGAACTAAAGAACCACTCCTCATTTACGCGTTCATTGGCAAAGTGGTGAAACGCACCGTCGGAACTTCTCCGCCACCTGGATAGACTACAGAAAGGCATTCGACTCGGTGCCCCATACATGGCTAAAGAGAGTCCTCCAGCTGTACAAGATAGACTGCACAGTTAGAGATTTCCTTGAGTGAGTTCCAGTGTATGGGGCAGTGGAGTACGATCCTTTGTTATATGGGCGAGCGGATTGTGGCCGTGGAAGGAAAAGGGGAGATCTCCCATCGGGCAAGGTGTACTGCCCGTGGAGCGGCCATCACTCCGTGTGATAGTTCGGAGTTGTTCTATATATACTGTTTATGATTCGGAATGTTGATAGCGTAATTTAGGCTTCGGTGTATTTCGCTTGTGGCGTGACGACAGCGCCGCATTAGGATGATGGCTGCGGAGAACCACATAAGGATAAGAAGGGGTATCTTCCAGGCGATTGTCTGAGTCCAATCTGGTTCTGCCTCTCTCTGAACCCTCTCAGTACCTTACTGGAGGGCTCCGGGAGGGGATTTCAGCTATGGAAAGGAGGGACAAAAGTGACCCACCTTTTCTATATGGATGACCTCAAGTTATTCGCCTCCAGTCGCTCCCATCTTATGGAATTTCTAAACATCACTTGTGAATTTAGCAATTCCATTGGCATGGAGCTGGGGACGGATAAGTGTGCGGTCCTCCATGTTGAAAGGGGAAGGGTTGCTAACTTTGAGGGCATAGACTTAAGAACCCTTTCCGAGGCTGAAACATACCGATACCTGGGTATGTCATAGAACATCGGTATTGATGAGGCTGGTATGAAACAGTTAGTTTGCGACATGTTTTGTGCACGCTTGACCAAAGTGCTTAACAGCCTTTTATCCGGTGTAAATAAGGCACACGCATATAACGGCTGGGTCATCCCTGTCCTCATGTATACCTTTGGCATACTCAGGTGGACTCAGACTGAACTTAACGCCCTGGATAGAAAAGTCCGCACTACCATGACGTCCCATAGGATGCATCACCCGAGATCTTCGATTATGAGGCAGTACTTGCCGCGGAAATGTTGTGGGCGTGGCTTGTTAAGCGCGCTTATCATGCATAATCGCGAAGTGTGCAGCCTCCGTAACTACTTTCTGACGAGATCGGATGATCCGTTCTATAGGGATGTCATTTGTTTTGATAAAGGGCTTACCCCTCCATCCTTGGCCAACGAGCAATGGTAAGAACCGGCAGTACAGAGTGTGGCGGCGCTGTCGTCGCGCCGCAAGCAAAACACACCGAAGCCTAAATCGCGCTATCAAAAGTTCTGAATCATAAAACAGTATATATAGAACATCTCCGAACTATATCACACGGAGTGTTGGCCGCTCCCCGGGCAGAACACATTTCCCGGCGGGAGATCTCCCCTTTTCCTTCTACGGCCACAGTGGTGACCACCCGACTTGATGTGAACACGCAACCAACAACCTTCGGAAACTTCAAGCTTTATCATCGTCGTAGAATACCCCACCCTTTCCCTCCCGAGCAGATATCGTCTGCAGTCCTCATATCCTGCTAGCCATCTAGCGTCACAAGGTTCATCGCAGCACTGGAATAATAATGTTTCCTGTTCCTTCAAGCTACACTCTGCGCTACAGTGTTCGGCACGGCTCTGAGCCTTACTGCTCGCCTCTGCTTCACGGCACTCTCGCAGATTACTTGCCTTCTTCTCGACTCACCGCAGACTACAAGGCAATCCACTGGCACTTACAAATTCGTCGGCAACGAGGCTGCACTATCGACGTCCGGTCTGAGCAGGGGGGTGATGTAGCGGCGCTGTCGTCGCGCCGTAAGCAAAACACACCGAAGCCTAAATCGCGCTATCAAAAGTTCTGAATCAAAAAACAGTATATATAGAACATCTCCAAACTATATCACACGGGGTGTTGGCCGCTACCCGGGCAGATCACATTGCCCGGCGGGAGATCTCCCCTTTTCCTTCAACGGCCACAAGAGCATTTCCGACCGGGAGACTGTATGGAAGGAGAAGGAGCTCCACGGGAGGTTCTACAAGGCTCTACATAAACCTTTCGTAGACACAGACGCCTCCCTCAACTGGCTACGTTTCGGTGACCTCTTCGAGGAAACCGAGGGTTTTGTTTGTGCGATACAGGATCAGGTTATTAAGACCAACAACTATCGGAGACACATCCTAAAGGATGGCACCGTCAACATTTGTCGAGCTTGTCGCCATCCCGGTGAGTCACTTAGGCATGTCGTCTCCGGTTGTTCGGCGCTTTCTAACTCTGAGTACTTGCACAGACACAACCTAGTAGCCAGAATTCTTCACCAGGAACTTGCTCTGAAATACGGTCTCGTGGATCGGAAATTGCCGTATTACAAGTACTTGCCGGAAGCCGTGCTCGAAAATGATCGCGCCAGGCTCTATTGGGACCGGGCCATCATCACACACAGGACTATTCTTGCGAATAAGCCTGATATTGTGCTGATGGAACGGGCACAGTCATGGATATTTTTGGTCGACATTACCATTCCGTATCACGAGAACCTCGTGAAAGCCGAAAAACAGATAAGCGAACAAAATATCTGGACCTGGCTGTCGAGGTGACCGACATGTGGGGTGGGCTGTCGACTGAAATTATACCTGTAGTCGTTTCTGCAAACGGGCTAATCCCAGTCAGTCTCTCGGGTCATCTTAGGCGACTGGGAATCCGTGACGGACTGCTCCGGGCTCAAATGCAGAAGGCGGTGCTCCTCGATACTGCCCGTATTGTGCGCTGGTTTCTTTCCCTTTCCCCCTAACTCTCGGCTGTTTGGTCTCCCCTGCCGAGGGCGTCCATCTGGTTGGGCTTTTATTTACTTATGTATTTATTTTATTTTATTTTTATTTATGTATATTTATCATTTTGTTCGTAATTATATATTTATGGAACCCAACCAGATGAGAAAACTATAGAGATACCCCGAGATAATAATTAAAAATAATAATAAAAATATTTATGTATATTTATCTTTTCATTTCCATTTATAATTATACATTTATAGAACCCAACCAGATGAGAAAACTATATTGATACCCGCCAATAATAATAATAAAATTTATTTCAGCAAATAGAATTGGTTTACAGACATTAGTGGCCGGATTCTCCTTTTAAGCAAATAATACCTGTACCAGGTGAATCCGCACTTTCATATCAATATCTATATATTATATTATATACATTATGAAATATGTATTACAGACTACAAGGAGTATTTACAGTTTTTTTTCTCTGATTATGATATTTGTTTATGTATGCAAATGCGTGCGGGCATGCGTGCGTGTGTATGTGTGTGTGTGCGCGCGCGCGTGTGTGTGTATGTGTGTGTACTATATTACTGTATGTAAAAGCAGCTCATTGTTCTCATAATTAAGTGACTAAACAATTATGTACTACCGTTTTACATTCGATATACTGTTTCGAATACATATCTACATAATTCTATATTGATTTTGTTATAAATTTGAGACGAACGACTATTATATTGAGTACTAGCAAACTTAGTTTTAGTTTGGGCTGTTAGCTTACTGTAGCTACATTATTTTTTCTTCTTTTTCCCTCTTTACTTGCATCTTAGGGTATATTTTAGTGTTTATTTAGTGTGATCTGTTTTATATACAGCTTCCTTACCGAAAGTAGCCCAATATCGAGATAAAGCCTTTCCGTGGGGTATCTAATATTTTTAAAGTACATAACTTTAATAAGCGCACGTTGTGCTCTCTCAACCTCTATAAACTTGGTTTTTGCCGCACCTCCCCAAACAGGAATGCAATATTCCAAGACAGATTGAAACAAGGCGATATATATCTCATTCAAAATTGATCTTGATGTTTCTCGGTCATAATTTTTTTTATTACCTGGAACCACATGCCTTAATGATCGGAAAACCCGAATCAACTATCTGACTCTTCCAGCAACATGCTAAAGCTGTGGGTACCAGGACAGTCTCTGATCCAACATGACGCCCAGGTACTTTGTATGGGTAACTTTATTAATGATCGAGCAATTACAGTTTGTATCCTGGGTGTTACAACAATCATGAAACCTTATACTAAATCTGTTTTCGGGTTGATTTTCATTGTAGATACAGAAACATATATAGTTAGTTTTAT